TCCTGTGTGGGTTTTATGATGTGCATTAAGGGTTGATTTAGAACTGAAACTTTTCCCACACTCGAGGCATTTATAGGGTCTTTCTCCGGTGTGGATTCTCCTATGGTTAGTAAGTGTCCATCCCCCCAGGCATTTCCCTGTTCCAAGCACTGGTAAAAATTCCCTTCAGCTCTTCTCAAAAACCTCTCCTGCGGTTCCACTTTCCCAGGAACTTCCTGCTGCTGTTCCTTCCTCCTCCTTGTTCTCACTCACTGTCCTATCACCTGCTGGGGGAGAGAGCATCCAGACAGGAGTCACTGCCTGTGCCGGGGAGAAAGGACAGGAAAGGGGAATAGCAAAGAGGGAAAACACAACACAGTAACTATTGGGGAGATGGAGACACTGGATTCTGCCTCCACATCCCACCCAAACACTCCCAGGGAAGTAAAGTCAGGGAGGAAATTCCCACAGCTAACAGGATGGGTGGGAAGCCGTGACTGATATTTGCCTTGATAATATGACACCTGCTGACTGCAGCCCTCACCTGGGTGAGATGAGGTAAATTGAGGGCTCTCTCTCTCACAGCACATTTTGGGAGTCCCAGCTTTTTCCTTCATTCACCAGATGGTTCTGTCTCAGTTTCCCTGACTCCTCACCTGTGCAGGTACCTCTTGGGCTCTCTCTTTCCTTGGCAGCCTGGAGATCTGGGACCCACGGCTCTTCCCCTCATTCCAGCCGGGCGATCAGGTCAGGTTTGGGAATGGGGAATCCTGTGAAGAGGGGGGTAATCAGGCAAGGTGAAGGTGCATGGAGATGTGCTCTTGGAGACTTGCTGACACACACAGCTCGGGTGTTAAACTCCTGCCTCTATCCAAGGCTGCTGCACCGAGAACCCTTCCCATGGGTGGAGCTAGTCCCAAGACAGTAGATTAACGCTGTGTGAAGGAGAAATAATACAGGCAGGGCAATACCCTGCTTCTGACCCTTTGAAAGCTGGAGAGATGGGGATGAATTAGCATGTCCATTAGGTTTCTGACTCTAGATAGTGGGTTCAGACTCCTGCATTGGGAGTCTGGTCAGTTTTCCCAGCCCTGCCCAGGATTTTTTTTTTTCCTTTTTCAAAACTGGGGAATGTCCCCCTCTTCAGAAAATCAGGTCCCAGGTTGAACGTGTACCAGCAGGTTTATCACATTCTGTCCCCCACCACACACGCACACACCATGCAGCTCCCTGAAAATCCCCTACCTGAGCTGACTCCATCATAGACATTTCTCTTCCCTGTCTCCTGGAAGACGGGATCATCTGGAGCGAAATGTGGATGTGATTCCTCAGCCTGTCAGGGCGAGAGGGGCGATGGGGGAGGTTACAGAAGGGGCTTGAGTCCATGTCACACCCCGATTCCCTCCAGGCTCTTGCCCTGCAGACAGACGCTCTGGACTCTGCCACGCTGGGAAAACCCTCAATCATTTTATCACAACATAGACCCGGCCCCTCCCACCAGGGATGAACCCACGGGGAGCACTTTTAAACCCTCCCAGGGACACAGTCCTGTAGCTAATGAATTTAGTTGATTGTTCATTTATTGTGTGATGTTATGATTAGTTAATATGTTATGTCACATATAATCATTGTATGTTAAATACATTGTATGTTAAATAAATGTTAAACTGTAGGATTATAAAAGTATAAGACTGATTTGTAGTTAGAAGGGATAGATATGCATTAGGTATCTTAGAGTACGTCTATACTACCCGCCGGATTGGCGGGTAGTGTTCGATGTATCGGGGATCGATTTATCGCGTCTCGTCTGGACGCGATAAGTCGATCCGCTACTCGATGCCCGTACTCCACCTCAGCAGGAGGAGTAAGCGGAGTCGACGGGGGAGTAAGCGGAGTCGACGGTAGGACAGCCAGGTAAGTCGAACTAAGATTCTCCGACTTCAGCTACGCAAATAGCATAGCTGAAGTTGCGTATCTTAGTTCGACCCCCCCTGCTAGTGTAGCCCAGGCCTAAGTAAGTAGGAGTGAAATGCAAGGCCTACAGGCTGAGGCCTGTAAGCTTTTGCCTTAACCATATTACAGCTTGGCGCTAAGAAATGATGACACAAGTAAGTCCCCGAAGAATGACCTGATGCCACAAGATTATGGGCAAAGATGTACCAGGGGGTAATAGTGTGAAAAAATTAGCCGGAAGATAAATTTTAAATCACAAAAATGCTGTAATGGCACATGTGTTTCAACATGTGTCTTAACCACAGGATGTAAGTTATGCATCAGTGCTAATGAGAATAAAGAGACCCTACCTGACCAATGGAAATTGGGGTCCCTTGTGTTTCTGGGGGACTGCAGAGCAATAAGAACAAAGGGGGTTGACACTTTCAGGAACATGCGCAGAATGTAGGTGTGGTCAGAATCACATTAAAAAAAGAGGGTGCCCAGATTAGGAGAATTGAGTTTTCCGTGGGAAACCCCAGCAGGAACCATCCCTCT